CCGAGCCGGCCCGAAGTTAGCCGAGGGTCGAAACCTCGGCGACGTTCGCGCAACGTCATGTGATAATGCGGTACGCACGTATAGATGCGGTAGACGTATAGAATCGGAACGACGCTAGCGATGGTTTCTTCCAAGGAGGCATTTAGACAAGACTTTCCGACGTTTTTTTAGCGTTATTTAAATATTATTTAACAATTTTTTATTTATATCGCGACGTGACACTTTCAATATAAATGTTTACAACTCATATCCGTTTCTATGCAGATTAAATTAATTTTGGCCGGTTTCCTATATGTATGCCGCCACTGCTGAAAATATATAGTGTACGTGACGTAAACTATAGATTTTCGGTATCGCAATATATCGAATACGGCTTTAATCTCGGTTCAATTTATTTTTTGTTGCCTTTCCTCCCTCCAATTCTTAAATTAGAGAAAGATGAAGAATAAGTTGAACCGAGATTAAAGCTAATCTACATTGCTAGAAATAAACAATATTGATGTGAAAATCATAATGTGAAGACAATCGTAAAGAAATCAGAAAAATACGAAAATAATGTTCCATTATATACATGTACGAATATTTGATAATAAAAATTAAAAATGTTTGTGATTGTTAATATTACTATTTGTATTTAAGAATATGTTAAACACATTTTTTAACAAAATGAAAAAGTTATCAACTACTTAGATTTTTCTAAAAAAAATATGAAAGTATAAATATAAAAAATTTGGCGACGAAGAATCTGGATCAAAAATTATTTCAATAAGAAACAGACATTTTTTAAAAATAATTAAAATAAAATGCGAAAATTTTTATTTGAACTATAAGACCATAATGAAATGTAAATATTGACTTTATCGAACTATTTCACGTGCATAGAACGTTCATTTTTATACGGAAAATACAAATTTCCAGTCATTTATTTTTGTAGAGATTATACACCTGATATATCCTTAATGTCTCTCTAACATGGCAACGTTATTAAGATTGCAGATTACAAGTATTTGTCACATCGTTACCTAATCGTACGCCGACAAACGCTTTTGTTATCACAGAATGTTATTTCCGGAGTAAAGAGACACTTTTCTTCGAGAGGACCGCTTATCGAAATACGCTCAAGTTTAAAAACAGCCATGACCCCGTTTCGTCGACATTCTTGATGCGGTCTCTCTTTTCAAAAAATGGGGACTGTTCGGGGCCCCGAAGGTACCTCGAGCCAGCCCTGAATCGCGCAACGAGCTCCAAGAAGACGATTGTGTCATGTTCCTCGACAACGAGAATGGCACTTCTCTGAGTCAGCCGACCGAAAAACTTATGTCGTTCCGTCGTCAAGGTTGCTTTTAAAATTTGGAACCGCTGTAATCACGCGCGCGCGCGCCGGCGCGACCGCGCTTTTTATCTAGCTCTCCTATATGTAGATAACGTCACGCGGATTCCCGCGCGCCTTCGCGACTTATCGCTCGGGAAACGCAACGTACTCACGAAAGCGCAGACACATGCGTAACCGCGAGAATTATCGTCGGCAATCTAATGCCGTGCCCGATATATCGTTACGCGCCGCGATAAAAATCCTCTCTTATCCCCTTTCCTTCCGAGATACCACGACCATTTGAGCGAAATCTTTCTCTGGCGTTGCACATGCCACACTGTAGATACTTTCTCAGTTGTGCTTCCTACATTCGGTTATTTACACTCTAAATCCAAAAACTTATTTGCGAATTTGCTTGCAATTGTGGCGTGGTCACCACTAAACGCTAAAAAAAGCATTGTGCGCAATGTTACTTTCTAAATTTCTTGTAGTGAAATCTCACTCCAAAAGAGTTAAAATACTGCCACTATTGAAGAAGAGTGAAAATTTTGTACTTTTGAATAAGAGTGACAAATTTTCATCTTTTTTTTCTTCAGTGAATCTCACTTCGATAGTGGCAGTGTTTTAACTCTTTTTGTTTTGGAATGAGATTTTACTCCGAGAAATTTAGAAAGTGCTAAAGCGGCCCCTAGTTAATCAATATTATTACACAATATTTGATATTGCACAAAATTATTGATCATTTGAAGATTATATTAATATTTATTTTTTATTGTCTAAAGAAGGCATCGATAATAAATAATTGTACAATAATATTGATCATCTAGAAGCCGTTTAATGTCCATGTAGATTAGAAACCCTAGAACAGAGTTCGGCCACGAGCAATTTTGTCAAATTGATAATGAGAAGGATATATATAATGTGTCTTTTTATACATGCTTATTCTAACTTACTAAGGTAGACAAAAACGACGGATCAATTAAAAGTTTAACATGGCTATATATAAATAATATATATTAGGTGTTAAACTTAATTCCTGCCGTTTTTCGTCTCCAAAATTGATTTATTTCGAAGATGACAAAAACGACGGATCAATTAAAAGTTTAACATGGCTGTATATAAATAATATATATTAGGTGTTAATTCCTGCCGTTTTTCGTCTCCAAAATTGATTTATTTCGAAGGGAAATACCTTAATCAAAGTATTATTAATAAAGTATTATTAATTAGTAATAAAGTAGAAAATGGAGGAAATTACTTTGATTAAGGTATTCATTCATCTTCCCTTCGAAACAAATGAATTTTGGAGACGAAAAACGGCAGGAATTAAGTTTAACACCTAATATCTCGTATATAGATTCTGTTATAGAGTCTGTTATACGTATACGCTAAGGCAGTTCACAATAAGCAGAGTAGCTGTATAGTGGATTAAGAAGTATAGGCATAGAAATCAGCCAATTATAGTCAAATGTGAGAAGGATAATCAACTATGATTGGTCGATTTCTACGCTTACTCCTTAATCGACTACTGTTTTACTGCTCATATAAGTATTTAAATTAACTTTCTGCCAATGTAGATTAATTTTTTTAATCTCAATCTTATTTTTTATTTCCTTTTCTAAAACAGCCCCTAGACTCTAGACGATCAATATTATTGCACAACGTTATTGATCGTATGGAGGCTATATATTGAGCCTCCAAATTATTTACTTTGAATTGTTTAAAGAGGGTATCAATAATATATTAGTACAAAATAATAGTTATATATAAATTAATGGTACACAATAATAATTTGTCATCTAGGGTTACTTAATGTCTATTTCTACCAATGTAAATTAATTTTAATTTCGGTTCAACTATTTATTTTTTTAGTTTTAAAAATTAGAAAGACATAAAGAGTAAATTGGAGATTAATCTATATTGAGAGAAACGAACAAAATAGATAAAATGTGAAAATATTTAAATAACGACATTATAAATTCTATT